GAATCTCTTATTATGACTGTGTCTCCTCATTCTGTAAATAAGCAGGACACTATTCAAATACTAATTTTTTCCTTTATCAAAGATTCCCCCCTTACTTTCTTTTTACTACTTCTTTTCATCCTTCTTTCCTTTCTTCCATCCTTCTTACCTTTCTCACTTTTATATAAATAGATCAAAATTATAAAATGTGAAAAATATATAAAGTTTAAAAATAAAATCCACTTATCTATGTCTTTCTCATACGTTAACACTGCCTAACATTAAAATGAATGAGCAATTAGTATAATTGATTTGGACAGTTGTATTGAAACCCACTTGCAAGATGTGTTTGCTATTGACTCAGCCAGGGGAGATGGCCAAATTCAGCTGATCTTTTGCTGCTGCTCTAGTGCTTTATAGAAGACTCCTGAGAGAGGTTGTTCAAATTTGGAAAATTAACCTATAGTCATGATTAATAATCTTAGTATGGAAAAGATAGCAAACAAATTTCAAACAATTTATACTACATATTTTTAAATTATGTTTGGGCTTTTATTTTTTTCAAGGTCTACTCCTGTGTTTTTTCATTTATTTATTCATTTATTAACATATTCATTTTCCTTTATCTTATTTTATTTTCCCATTCTTCTCTCCCTTCTGTGAACAACTATTATAATTTGAGATGCTTGGCATTTATTCATAAAATATGTAATGATTTATTTTGCATGCATATTATTTAAATCAACATAAATACCATTACCCTATAGGTCAGATCCTGTTTCTCACTTGTTTTTAACTTGGCAAAGACTTTAGGATGGATCCACCTTCTGGTGTTAACACCTGGTATGGTCTGTTTCTTCCAGCCTCTGCCAAGTGTTTTCATCATGAGCATTCACAGTACTCTCAATGCCTCTTTCGCTTGATACCTCCACCTCCTCACAAATACCTACCCACAAAGAGAATTTTTAGGTGATAGAGTGTGTATATGCTTAATTTAACTACATTCTGCCACATTGCCCTCCAGAACAGTTTCACTCATGTGCATTCTCATTAAAATAATTACATGTTTATAAATTGTAAATAAGAGGTTGTTTTATTTTATCTACTTATAGTCATAGTATTCTCACATTATAGAGAGAAAATAAACCAGAACAACCATCTACCAAGAATATCTCCTTGATGAAGTCAAGGTCACCAATCCCACATCCCAATCAACACATGGCATTTTATGGTTTTCAAACGTGTCCCAATATGATGACAGTTAGGTAATATATTATGACTTCAATTTGCACTTTCTAATGACTAATGAATCTGGGGTTTTCTTCATATACTTGCAGAAGTTTTGGAACTTCCTCCTGTGTGAATGATCTTTATTTTACTAATTGCTTAGATATTTCCAATTGTTTTCTAGTAGACTATCATTTTTATTAACTTTTATAACATCATAAAATGTTAGACATAAACAAAGGGGATGAATTGTGTAGTGCCTACCACATATGAAGTGTTAGAAAAATACATGTGGAATGAATAAAATGAACAGAAATCATGAACTTTTGTGTGGCATATGTTTGGGTGTAGAGTAACCTGTAGGAGTTTTAACTACCTGAATAATTTTAGTCAATAAGATGTTTTTGATGTAATGGTAAATAATAAATATAGATCAAGAAATAACATAACATGAAATTTTGTATTATAAAGAGAGGACTAACTTTTGCCCATTTAAGGAGCATAGAGTATTAAGTAATCCTAGAGATTATGAAAACACATATTTCAGAATATTTTATGTTAATATTTTTAAAGTTCTAGAATTACCTAATTATTGTCTTTTTCGGTGTTTAGTAGCCTATTAAGCCAGAGACTTTGCAAAAAATCCTATCATCACTGCTACACATTCAGCAAAAATCCAGACTGTCTTAATTTCCTGTTAAAAGCTATTAAAGGCCAGGCATGGTGACTCAAACCTGTAATCCCAGCACTTTGGGAGGCTGAGGCCAGTGGATCACTTGAGGTCAGGATTTCAAGACCAAGCTAGCCAACGTGGTGAAACCCTGTCTCTACTAAAAATGCAAAAACTAGCTGGGAGTGGTGGTGGGTGCCTGTATACAATCCCAGCTACTCAGGAGGCTAAGACAAGAGAATCACTTGAACCTGGTAGGCAGAGGTTGCAGTGAGCCTAGATCATGCCACTGCACTCTAGCCTGGGTGACAGAGCGAGACCCTGCCTCAAAAAATAAATAATAATAATAATAATAAGCTATTAAAATAGGTACTTTCAAGGAATTTAATTGAAGTCTCATCTGTGCAGTTTCATCCCTGAAATGTGTAATAATCTAAATACTTTAAATAAGTATTTAAATAATTTAAATAAAAGAAAATACAAATGTTTACTCATAATACTAAATAATAAATATAATTCACATGGGTACTATTTTCCAGAAAATCTTTCTAAAACGCAGTGTAAAAAGCTGTCTTGAGATAGAAAATGCTTACATTCAAACCTATTAAATGATAAAATACATTATTGAACATCCACAGAGCATAATAATTTTCAAAAAATTTTTGCATGCATTTTTAAATAGTTTATATAATTTTACAATTAACAAATATTTTTCATATATATTTGAAATGCCATATTTAATTTTCATACCTACTAGGACCTCTTTTGAGATAAACAAGGAGTGATTTGTTATACCTGTACATCATTCATTATTTTAATATGGCTCATAGAATTTGTAGGAAGATAGACAATAGAAAAGGGAAATATTACTAAATGACTGTGTTCAGTGGTCATCTTCCCTATGGTGTCTCACTGTAGGCAATGAGCCAGGATAAAAAAATTGTCCCAATCTTTTGAACTGCAGCACTGAAACAACTAGGGTGGGAAACTGAGGTGGGGCAAAAAGAATTTCCATTGGTGTATTGTGGTATGGAGCAGATCATGTAGTTTACAGTGTCAGGTATATATCCAGGCAAGACCCTAGTTATCTGTATAATTTTTTCAGAAATTTTATTAATGATAGTAGTTTTTTAGAAGCATTTTTTAAAATTTTACAGGATAATTATGTTTTGTAAATTTGCCCTTTTATTTTGGCATGTGAAGAATGAACAGGTAAATTCAACAGAAAAACCATGAAAATAAGTGACTATTCCTTTTCATAGTATGTGCTCCTGCAGAAATGTGACAATGCAATTTCTGAATTATAATAACTTTGAATTCAAAATCATCTGTTTATTAATGTAATCTTCTTCCTTATTTTTTTAAAAAAGTGCTTTATTTTCCTCTTTCAGCGTGCTATATTTTTCTTTAGTGGTGTTGTCACTGTCTTTTACATAATTTTCTCATTTTATATGTACAACAGCCTGGGATTGTTGAAATAAACCTAAGGCCCATCTGAAGATAAAGTTTCCTTGGAGTAAGTTATAGAAAAGTCATTCTTGTTTGTGTTATTGTGAGCCTTTTTATGGACTTCTTTTACTATTTGACTATAGTTTAAAAGCTTTTCCCTTTCTTACTTGCAAGTGATAATATGCTTTCTAATATATATCACAATCATTAAAACTTTTAAAGATACAATCATGCCATGTTTAGAATTTTTCACTGGAGCCAATGATGATCAATAGGTAATTTCACATAAGCATCTGTGAAGCTCGTTTTAAACCTAATGGTTCAGACCAGGCATGGTGGCTCATGCCTGTAATCCCAGCACTTTGGGAGGCTGAGGCGAGTGGATCATTTGAGGTTAGGAGTTTGAGACCAGCCTGGCCAATGTGGTGAAACCCTGTCTCTACTAAAAATACAAAAACTAGCCGGGCGTGGTGGCATACACCTGTAATCCCAGCTACTTGAGAGGCTGAGACAGGAGAATCCCTTGAGCCTGGAAGGCGGAGCTTGTGGTGAGCAGAGATCACAACACTGCACTCCAGTCTGGGTAACAGAGTGAGACCTGTCTAAAAAAAAAAAAAAAAAAAAAACTAATGGTTCAACAACATAATTGTAGTATTTAGACATTTTTCTCAAATAAAGCTGGTAGAGTTCACAAATACTTGAGCACTACCTTGGATGGGTTCATCTACTATATATACCCAGTTCACATAGCTGCATGTCAGAACAATGTGAATCATGCCATATATGGACCCCTCAATGACTTTGACAGCTCACATAAAATGGACCAAAGGAGCTAGATGTAAAATATTGAAATATTAATTATGTTATACTTTTATTTTTTCTGTGAAATTATCTTTTTAGATAGGAAAAATGAAATGCCCTGACCAGGTCAGGCCAGGCCAGCTACATAATTTATAAAACCAAATGCAAAATTAAAATGTGGGTTCTTTGTTCAAATGTTATTAAGAATTTCAAGATGATAACAGTAGAGCATTAAACCAAGCATAGGCCTTTCTGAGCACAGGGCCTTGTACTGGTGCACAGGTCACATACCCATGCAGCTGCCCTTCCTATAACCTTCCTAGTATTCCTCAATTCAGGGATGTCTGGCATGCAGTGAAGAAAAAGACACGAAGTGGCATTCTATTTCATCTGCAGAAAATAGAAGCTACAACACTTTCTGAAATGGAGAAATCCAAATGACTTTTTTCTACTACTCCCATTTCATGATAAAATACCAAATACATTCCTCTAGTAGCTTGTTCCCCACAGAAAAATTATATTGGGGGTTCTAAGTGTTTGTTTTATTTCCTATACGAAATTGGTCTAAGCAGTATACATTCAGTAATGTTTTTTATGGCAGTGTGAACAGAATGCATGCGTTTGATAATACTAAACAGATTTTCAAAAGCAAAATTTTGCATGTTGTATTAAATATATTTTATGTGTTCAGGTAAGTTAATGAGATCAAACTACATCATGGTTTTGGTATTAATGTTGCAGAGAACTTGGAATTGATGTTCTCTGAAATGGTGTGCTGAGTTGACTTCTAAATGCAAATAAATGTCTTCGATGCCCTATGTACCCAGACTGGAGATAGCACACATTTGATTTTATATTCAATTTGTCTTTTTAGGGATGCAAGTATTGGAATGGAATGGAATTCCCTTGACTTCTAAAACATATGAAGAAGTTCAGAGTATCATTAGTCAGCAAAGTGGGGAAGCAGAAATATGTGTAAGACTGTGAGTTTTTCCCCATCTTTCTGTTTCCATTTTTTGGCTATCCATGACTCTTTTAATTTAAAATTGTTAAGGTGGAACCTTTGCCAGTTAGCAAGATTTTCTGTAATTATAAAATAAAGTGAATCAAAGCCTAAAGCATAGAAAGAATTCAGCTAACTTAGTTTCTGATTGTGTCAACAGCCTCTTCCCTTTCATGCTTTTATGGAAACGTGCTTCATTTAAATGAAAGCCTGAACCCATTTAGATTTCATGGATATGTATTTACAAATGAACTTACACTTAATTCATAAAGATTTCACCTTAAATAATCATTTTTATCAGCTCTGACTTTTAACAGCATTGCAACTATATATTTGGTTAGGAGGCTAAGCATGCTTTGGAGTTGCTTTATATCATTAACCACTTCTCATTTACCTACTGAAAAAAATTAAGGGTAGTTGGAAAAAAGTGCTGTTTGTCTCAGATTTCCTCAATATCTTTCTTAATGTTTTGTTTTAATTTTTAGGGACCTCAATATGCTATCAGATTCTGAAAATTCCCAGCATCTGGAACTTCATGAGCCACCAAAAGCTGGTAGGTAAAAGAAATTTAGTTTCAACTGTAAATAAAGAGGTAGATATAGAAGTAGTTGGAGAGGCATATGTAATTGTAGATGAAGATATAGACATAAACACAGATATAGACCGAGATAAAGTTATGAATAGATTGTTAAATATATTTATATAATTATAAGCAAAATCTAGGGCATTGTAGCTACAGTTTTAGCATTCTGGGGAAATAAGTATTTGCATGTTAGTACCCTTAAACAAGTTCACGTAAAATCCTTGCTGCATGAATTCACAGTTTTAATTCTTTAAATATGAATTCATCCTTTGAAAGTAATGCTTGGAGCCATTTCTTTTTGGGTTTACATAATTTTTAGAGCATACTTGATTCTTTTTAGAATAACTGGGTTTAAAAAAAATCTTATTTCTGAACCTTTTCATTTCCTTTTTATAGTAAACAAAAATCAACATGTAATTTCATAAGTACACGGTGAGATAGATTTAATTCTTTCTTTGGATAACAAATATAATCTACAGATTTGTTAGATCTATTGTAAGATTAAAAATATCCCTTTTCCTATGTTAAATAAATTTTGGTTGAGCACTTTCTACTCTTACAGCCACAATTCTAGTAGTCTGGCTTATTGCACTAAGCAGAATAGACCAAGTGCTATACGAATTTTAATACATTTGTAAATATAAATAAACCCATTAAAACTTTCCCCTTAGAAAATTTTCTCCTTAGAGAAAGAATGATGTAAAATTTAGGGAAGGAAAAGCAGCTAATCATACAAATTAAGTTCCAATGGATAAAATAGGATATTGCATCATTCAAACAATTCTCTATGTAAAATATTAAAAACATTTTTCTGAAGATGCAACAGGAACTTCACTATTCCTCTGTAATTCAGCATTAGGTTACTCTTCTCAGAGCCTTGTAGACTTCCTTGGAAACTGATACATAGAAGTGCAATTAAGTTAATTTCATTTTTAAAGTTTAGCTTATTTTATAAGTAATGTTTTACCTTTGTCACCTAGAACTCACATAGTTCCATGGTATTATGGAGAAGTATGTAAATCTATTTCATTTTGTTGTAGTGGATAAGGCGAAATCCCCAGGGGTTGATCCTAAGCAGTTGGCAGCAGAACTCCAGAAGGTTTCACTACAGCAGTCACCGCTGGTTCTGTCATCAGTTGTTGAAAAAGGATCTCATGTTCATTCAGGTCCTACATCAGCAGGATCCAGTTCCGTTCCCAGCCCTGGGCAACCAGGGTCCCCTTCAGTGAGCAAAAAGAAGCACAGCAGCAGCAAGGTGAGGAGTGTTTGATGTGACCTCTGACCCACTTGTTTTCTAGCTCTTTATTCAGACCAGAGATAGAAAATAAAATATCATTTTCTAAAGTATTTTTCTTATGATTTCTCATTTCCAGATGATCTGTCAAAACAAGAAACATTTTTTCTCTTCTGAGTACAAAACTCATCAAGATGTACCAGGATGATGTATTTCTACATCTTTTAAATATTTCAGTAGTTATTATGAGGAACTTGAAAAATATCTCTGATACTTTATATTTTCTGGCTCTCTTTGTTGTTGCATGTATCTGAGCTTTGTATATAGAATATTAGCTTTGCATCTTTTAGGAAACAAAAGGTACATATTACATTAGATTTTATAATTAAGTAAAAAGGACACAGCGATAAAGAAAACTTAAGACAATAACAAACAAGGAAAACCAGTAACATATTATCACCACTTTGAACTTTATCCTCAATTCCATATTAAGCATTTTTTTATTGATGCAAATCTTCATTCGAAACAAATGCTTCCAATGCTATTGTTTCAAAGTGCCAAGGAATTTTAAAAAAATAAAATTATTTTTTAACCTTATAAAAAGCAGAGGAAATATAGACAATTGATGATTTCCCTCATAGATTTGATTCTTAAGAAAAACTATCCCTGTAGTTGATAAATACATGGGGAAAAAAGTGTCCTTTTGTTTAAACATGAATAAAGGTTTATCTTTATATAGTGAAATATATGGGAAGGACAGGCTATATATGCTTAGGTCAAGTGACCAGACATAAAAAATAAAGTTTGTTTTTTAACTATAAAAATACAGCAGATGTCACCAAAAAGAGAATCCTTTTATTCAGAAGCAAACAACAAAAGTAGGTTGACCTTAATCATTGCATCATAAAATGATTTGTTTGAAACTAAATATAGAAAAGCTTCATAAGCAAAGTAATTTCAAGGGCAGTTAGACTAAATTTTGAAATAAATTTTAACACAACTACATTTTACCACAAGCAATTATGTGCTAATTTTGAATAATTACCTTATAGAGGCTCTATTTTCATAATCATTTAAAAATAATTCATAAACTAGCCAACTAAAATACCAACATAATTAATACTAAATTCTGTTTTGTAGATGTTTCTATGTTATAAAAATATAATTTGAACATATTTGAAAACAACTTCTTTTTAAATTAAGCAATTAACCATCTCATACAATATTGCTTATATTTTTAAATTTTAAATTATTTTTAATTAACAAATGAAACTCGTATATGTTTATACTGTACAGCATGAGGTTTTAAAATATGTATACATTGTGGCTGGGCATGCTGGCTCATGCCTGTAATCCCAGCATTTTGGGAGGCCAAGGCAGGCAGAGCACTTGAGACCAGGAGTTCGAGACCACCCTAACCAACACAGTGAAACCCCATCTCCACCAAAAAATACAAAAATTAGCCAGGTGTGGTGGCTCATGCCTGTTGTCCCAGCTACTCAGGAGGCTGAGGTGGGAGAATCACTTGAACATGGGACATGGAGTTGCAGTGAGCAGAGATCACACCACTGCACTCTAGCCCAGGGGACAGAGTGAGACTGTCTGGAAAAAAAAAACAAAAAGAACATGAATACGTTGTGGAATGGCTGCATTACGTTGAGCTAATTAACATGGATTACCTCACTTATTTTTTGTGGTCCAAACACTTTAAATCTACTCTTCATTCCTCTGAAGTATTTGGCTTAAAAAAAATTTTTTTTTAAATCTACTCTCTTCACAATTTTCAACAATATAATACATTTACTATTAACTGTAGTCACCATGTTGTATAACAGAGCTTTTAACTTCCCCCTAAGAGTAGTTTGTACCCTTTGACCATCATTCCAATCTTTCCTTTTCTCTTAGCCCCTGGTAACTACCATTCTTCTCTATGCTTCTATAAGTTCAATTTTGTTAGATTCCACATATGAGTGAGATAATGTGGCATTTATCTCTCTGTGCATGAATTAGTCCACTTAATGTCCTTCAGGTTTATCCATCTTGTTACAAATGACAGGACTTCCTTGTTTTTTAAGGCTAAATAGTATTCTGTTGTGTATATATAACACATTTTCTTTACCTCATAATCAATTGATAGACACTTAGGTTGGCATTATATCTTGGCTATTGTGAATAATGCTGCAATGAACCTGAGATTGTTGGTATCTCTGACGTGCTGATCTCATTTCCTTTGCATATATGCTCAGCGGTGAGATGGCTGGATCATATGGTAGCTCGATTTTTAATTTTTTTGAGGAACCTCCATACTGTTTTCCATTATGGATATATCAATTTACAATCCCAACAACAGTGTGCAAGCGTTCCCTTTCTCCACATTCTCACCATCACTCACTATCTTTTTTCTTTTGGATAACAGTCACTTTGACTGGGGTGAGTTAATATCTCATTATAGCTTTAATTTGTATTTCTCTGATGATTAATGTTGTTGATTTTTTATATACCTCTTAGTCATTCGTATGTCTTCTTCTGAGAAATGTCTATTCCAAATCTCTGCACATTTTTAATTCAGGTTATTTGTTTTCCTGCTGTTGAGTTGTTTGACTTTCTTGTATATTTTGGATATTAACACCCTGTCAGATGTATGGTTTGCAAATATTTCCTCACATTCTGTAGGTTGTCTCTTCACTCTGTTGATTGAAACAATCAGCTGCTGATTGGCTATGCAAAAGCTTTTTAGTTTGTTATACTTCTATTTTTTATTTTTGCTTTTGTTGCCTGTGCTTTTGGAGTCATGTCCAAAAAATCTTTTCTCAGACCAATGTCATAGAGCTTTTCCCTTATGTTTCTCTCTAATAATTTTAAATTTTCAGGTCTTATATTTAAATCTTTAATCTATTTTGAGATGATTCTTGTACATGGTGTGAGATAAGGGTCCAATTTTATTGCTCTGCATGTGGGATGTCCAGTTTTCCCGGTACCATTTATTAGAGAGACTATCCTTTGCCCGTTATGTGTTCTTAACATCTTTGTTGAAAGTCAATTGACTGTAAATGAATGTGTTTATTTGGGGGTTATCTATTGTGTTCCATTCCATATGTCTGTCTGCTTTTATGCCATACCATGCTGCTTTGATTACTATAGCTTTGTGGTGGATTTTGAAGTCAAGTAGCATAATTCCTCTGGTTTTGTTCTTTTAGCTCAAAATTGCTTTGGCTATTAGGGTCTTTTGTGGCTCTAAATGAATTTTAGGATTGTTTTTACTAGTTCTATAAAAATTTCTTTGGAATGTTTATAGAGAAAGTGATTGAGTGGATGATTCACTCTGGAAGGGAGCCGGGAGGTGCTGAGCATTAAGCAAAGAAGTAAAAGAAGGACTTTTCTACCTTCTGTGCTCCTCAGCAGTTCTTGTATTAAACCAGTCTTTTACCTGATAAATGTATTTTAAACATTACTGTATAGATCTTTAAAACCTGTAAATACTTAATTAAGTGCTTTAAACCTAAAGTGTTCATTTTCTTAAGTAATTGAAAATACTGCTGGTATAAAATTACAGCTTCAAAGCAGGCTTACCAAAATGAAAAACAGATTTATGCATCTATAAAATTAAATGTGTATTGAGAACCATAAGTAGACACCATTATTCTGAAGCAGCCAAATGGATAAAATATATTTTCCAAGCAGTTGCTCTGACCAAATAGAAACTAATTTCAGAAGAAAGCCGAAATGATAAATTCTGTGATTAATGTATCTATTAATGCAATATGTGTTCTTTAATATTACAGCCTACTGATGCAACAAAGGTTGTCTCTCATCCAATTACGGGAGAAATTCAGGTATGAAGTTTTTTAAAAAGTCGCCATTATATAACCTTTTTTGGTTCTTCTGCCACTGGTTTATTGAAATTGTAAACACACTGTTAGGATTTTTCTTATTCTGTAACATATACAGAACTGTAAAGGAAAAATACAATTTTATAGAATAGCATATTAATACAAATATATGTTTTATGAATTCCAATCATAGCTATGTATTTCTATACTTTGAAATCTGCCTGGTATCTTAGCAGTGTCAACATGTTTTGTGCCTCAGTTCCTTTATATTTGTCTAATGTATTTTAAACATAACAGATTCTCCTGGAAATTTGAAGTTTCCTCTTTAAGAGTTTCATAAGTCTACTGGATTTTTTCTTCTTTTAATCAAAAATTGCTTTAAAAATTGCTGAATAGTTCTTGTAGAGAAGTATTTTTCATACCATGAGTCATAACTGCTTTGTAATTTATAAAATTAGTTTAATAAATTTTCATCAGGAAAATAACATAAAAGTAGATAAAGAAAAATATATAAAAATAAAAAGATCATCATCTTTTAAAATTCTCTCTGTGTGTTTTGATATTCATATATTTCTAATTGTGGGTCATCTTAAAAAAAAAAAAAAAACTTTAAAACCTGCACCTTAGGTGATACCAAAAAGTAATTTAAAGTGAATAAGAAATAGTATATAGAAAGAATTAACACTACGAAATAGTAACTAATTGAAAATAGTATGTTCCAGATGAAAGAGTAAGTCTTAGCTGCATCTCTAATACATTCTAGAGGAAATTTTCACAAAAGACTTCACAAAGGATAACAGAAACTTGAATTAATTTGAAGATAAGCATAAAGAAAGGGAGATTATATTCCTAGGAGAAGAAACAGTACAATTAAAGGTACTGTTGTCTGAGAGTAATGGTTGAAGAATCAGCTTTGAGAAATAGGTTAATACTAAATTAAAAAGAACCTTGAACATAATCCTAAGAATGTTAGCCACTATGTAATATACCATGATCTCTATTTTGGAGTAAGAGAGAGACTATTCAAAAAGAATGTGTAATAAAAATTCATATGGCAGTGACCTACAAGAAATATTATAAAGGGAAGGACATTGAGGCAAAGAAACCAATTAAGTGATTATCCAGGAACCCACTACAAAGCAAAAGTGGAGTATGAGTGTGGAAATGGAGAAAATGTGCAGAAGGTTGACACGTTACTAAGAACAAACTAACAGAACTACCCTGATGACCTCTGTCCTCCCGATCTGGCTGTTTCTCTGCTATTTCCAACTTCCAGAAAGCCTATTTTTCACTGACCTCATCTTTCTTCGTTTCACAAGCAGCAAAGAAAATGCTAGAATTTCTGATTCTTAATAGCCTTCTTTCTCTTTCCTACTATTTTGAAACTTCTGTCCTTGAACTAGTATTTCTTTTGGACTTTTTTTTTGTTTTTATTGTTGTTGTTTGTTCTAATTTTATTTTGCTTTCCCTTAAGGAGTAAGATGTAATTTTGTAGTTGAAATTTACCCTGCTATTATTTCTTCTTAATTTGGGTGATATTTTCTTAAGGCAGTGATTTCAATTTATTATTATTTTTTATTATTATTATTATTAATTATTATTATTTTCTTTTAGCAAAGGCTCATTTCTAATGAAACCTTATGTAGACACCCAAACCACAAATCTGTCAGCACTGGAGTCAATGTGATTGAAGATTGCTGGGGCATTCCATTCTCTCTCAAAGCTGACCCTGAGCAACTCTGGATGTTTCCTAAGGCCATACAGAGCAAATTTTAAAAAGCACTCTCTTCGGGTGGCCTGCAAGTTTTCATTTAAATAAGAAATGGTTTGAGTGCTTCATCATTTAAAAGAGGATTCTAAGGCTGGCAGAGAAAGGAGAGAATGGGGAAGTGTTTCTCTTTAACTAAAGATCTGGAAGCTGTTTGAAATTTCAGTGGTATTAATTACAGGTTATTTTATATTCTGTATTTCCATGCCAGATTATAGCATACAGTTCTAAACTCCCCATTTCTCCTCTTCTTTAATGGTACTTTGCTTTCTTTTTCACTGTGCTTTTATTACGGTCAGGGACTCTAGTCTTTTCTGGATGGAGATAAGCAATTGAAGATGTATTTTCTGACAGGAAACATAATAAGATCAAAATTATGCTAAAATGAGGATTTATTTTCATTATGAAGTTTTACAGGAAAGTATGACTCATCTGAGTTATCCTATTTTAAATATAAATGCAGCATGTCTGTTTTATATGGATTATTTTAAAAGTAGTATTTTTCTATATGGATTTGCCCTTGAAATATGTATCCCTTCCCCTCTATTATTTAATAAACAAAAGTAACATCAAACAGAATTAAGGTTTATTCTAAATGATGCCGAAAGAGTCTTTCAATTGTAAAAGGAAAAAAATGCTTAACTCAATTATTTTGAATTATGCAGTTTTCTCAAATATTTGTTTGAATTATGTCTTTTAGTATTCAGCCACAATTGTGCAACAGCCAGTAAGCATCTATAAAACAATGCCTCTTCTTTCTTCAGCTTCTAAAATTAAAAGAAAAAAAGATTATTCTAGTATCTCACTCTATTAGGAAAGCTGGTCCCGAAAGGTATCCATAGGTTTAATATCAGATAATGTAACATAAAAAAGAGGTAGTAATCTGTGTATTCTTAAATATTCTTACATTTCAGTGCCGACAGCTTTATCTTTAAATAACAGTTCCACCCCGCTGCTAATTATTTGGCAAAATGCAGATAATACTTTATAATAACTTACCAATTAGTTAATTTCTTTGAAAATTCTGGAAATTATTGTTAATAAACATTAACAACATTTACTATTTTCCTAAGAGTAGCAATTTAATTAAAAAATATAACCAGCATTCTAATATATGATTTTCCTTCTAAATAAACTTTAAACAGGCCAGGCCTTTTCACCGTGGAAAGAATGAACAGCATGTTTGCTAGGAATTAAAATATGCCTGGGAGCTCTCAATTAAATTAGACACTAACTGGTCTGTTTGGCTTCAAATAAAATGAAAATGAAAGTTGATGCTTCTTACAAGAATTTTCTTAAAAACATATTAGTAAATATTGAATGATAATGTATAACATGCTTTAAAAAACTTATGGAATATTTTTCTGTCTCCTAAAGCTTCAAATTAACTATGATCTTGGAAATCTCATAATACATATTCTCCAAGCAAGAAATCTTGTTCCTCGAGACAACAATGGTTATTCTGACCCTTTTGTGAAAGTGTACCTTCTTCCAGGGAGAGGGTAAGTAAAATGAAGAAGTATTTCATCTCATGTTTTAAAACAATAGTATAGTGTTTTCTATTCTTTAATTTCAGCACCTCATTTTAATTGACTTTATTATCTTTTCCTTACTTTCCTCCACACATCATATTTATTTATTTCCAATTAGTAAATAAGGTGGAATTAAAAACTTATAATTAAGCCTTACAGGGTTCTAGAAGAACAGTGATCAAAATGAAACCAGCCTCCAACAGAGCAAATCAGCCTTTCAATTCTGGAAATCACTCCTGTGATGAACTATCAGATTCACTATGAAATCATTTAAGGAATTATTTGTGTCAAAGTTAAAGAATTGGCTTACCTTCCCAAATTTATCTGAGAAATCGATATTCAAGGACTCACAAGTTACTGTTTATAGGACATGTGTATTTCCCAATATGTTAGTGTTGATTAAAGGGTCCCCTGATGTATCCTTATTTATAGCATATTTCCAAATCACTGATTTAAAAATTATAAAATAACACAAAGTAATATTAGAAGTATTGACTTTGGTAAATAAATAAAAAATATCTCTTTGAGTCTCTTGTGTGATGTATAAATTGTTGATATAGTCAAGTGTTCTTTGGAGATATTTAACTCTCACATAAGGCAAATTGCTGTGATCTGGTATATAAGTCAGTACTCAAGTATGGTTTTGAAACACTGATTTGAACCCTACAAATTATTATCCTTCACTTGAACAATTCATATCAGCCAAATTAGCAAGATGGAAACGTAAGATCAACAAATGGAGGTAAAATAAAAAGAATTTTGAGTTGGTAATTTAAAGAAACTGGTTTTATTTTCTTTTCATTTTCCTTTTAATTTGTGGAGTGACATTTGAATTTTCCCTTTAACTTGGAAATTTTCCACTGTGGCACACAAGTAGAAGGAATAATTTGACCCACCATGTACCCATCACGCAACCTCAACAGTTATCACTTAGTGATCAATCACGTTTCATTTTTCCTCATACACTCCCTTAATCTAGATTATTTAGAAGTAAATCTCAGCTATTATAATTATTTCTGCAAATATTTTAGTATATATTTCTGAAAAATAAAACTCATTTAAAAATAACCTTAATACCTTGTATAAACACATATTTAAATTGTTCAAATAATTGTTTGGTTGCCTCATAATATTTTCCTAGTTGATTTGATGATCTAATTGATATTTACAGAATATACTACCCGTCAATAGCAAATTACATATTCCCTTCAAGTACACATGGAGCATTCACCAAAATAGACTATTTTCTAGGACATAAAATAATCTCTGGCAAATTTAAAAGCATTTTAATTATGTGAAGTGTATTCTTTGACTGTAGTTGGTTTGTTTAAAGAAGATCCAAATTAGAGCTATACGCTGAACTTCAATCTGCTGCTTAGTATTTATATCACCACAGGCAGATCACCAATTTCTTTGAAATTCAGTATTCTTGTCAACCCTGAGAGCCAAGGTAGGCAGAATCATCATGTTTAGCTTGTCAGGAGAACCAAATTAGATAATACTCAGAAAATAATTTTTAAATTGCCAGGTGCTATGTCAAAGTTAGTTCACAGCTTTTAATTTCATCCTTCTCAATAATTTTATTTTAAAAACTTGGAATTGTTGGTATGGTTGCTCTAGTTTTACTCTATTGAACATTTTGAAAAACCAATAATTTTATGTAGAGATTACCAGTAGTCACACAGTACAGGAAAAGGTAGTTTTTGTTTTATGTTCATTCATTTATATCTATATATAGTAGTTGTAACTATAATTTGGCAATATCTTTTATAGTTTAAGAATAACAACAAGGCCGGGCGTGGTGGCTCACGCCTGTAATCCCAGCACTTTGGGAGGCCGAGGCGGGTGGATCACGAGGTCAGGAGATCGAGACCATCCTGGCTAACATGGTGAAACCCTGTCTCTACCAAAAATACAAAAAATTAGCCGGGCGTGGTGGTGGGCATCTGTAGTCCCAGCTTCTCGGGAGGCTGAGGCAGGAGAATGGCATGAACCCGAGAGGTGGAACTTGCAGTGAGCCGAGATCACGCCACTGCACTCCAGTCTGGGAGACATAGCGAGACTCATCTCAAAAAAAAAAAAAAAAAAGAATAACAACAAACTGATAACTTCATTCTGCGTTTGATGTTTGATTTGAGTCATTAGACCTTCATTGTTATTTATAACAATATTATGATACAAGGGGAAATCACTGCCAAGGATTTGTCTGTAATTAGCATTTGTAAATGAAAGAATGAAGATAAAGCATTGTTGTTTATATTCTATATTCTCTAATGATATCCTGGAATACAGAGTACCTACCTTTTATTTATTACAGGATATGTGTCAAGTAGAATGTTACAAACTTAAAGAATCATGAAGGACAGGCAGGTAACACAAATCTGTCAGTCCATTCTGGGGTGAGCAACAAGGAATGGTGGGAACCATGGTGAAATGGAGAACAAACACCCCACCTAAAGCTATCCTCCTGTGGTTTGACAAATAAAACATCCCTACTTGGTGAGGTTTGACTCAAAGGCAGCTAATAAGCTGCTCCTATTCAATTCCTAGGTCTTGCTTTCAATTACACTCCTAATTATTAGACAAGCAGAGGCCTTGGAATGTATTACACTTGCAAGGTATTATTTTCACTGTAATTCTAGCATTATTTTCTGCCTCATGTCATTTATATGTTATGGAATAGCTCTTCTAGTTATTATTTTCATATTTTCTTTCTTATTTCTGTTCCTAACTATTTTCTTCCTATCTTTTCTACTTTCCTGTTTTACCCTTCATTCTCGCTCTTGGAATCAATGCAGTCAAGTCATGGTTGTCCAGAATGCAAGGTAGAGTTGTTTCTCTTTCAGTGTCAAGCTATGCTGTTATGCCTTGAGTTATGCTTTTTGCATTTTTATGTACATTCACTTGCACTTCAACATGGGCTGTAACTTGTATTTTTCTACATGTTTGTGTCTATTGAATCAGCACTACAACAAATTGTTCTGAGCATATTTCTAAATAGCTTTAGCAGATGTGTGCAATAGAACACAGAAAAGTAGAAAATATCAAAAACACAGAAACGATGAATAAAATATATTATTACCATGAAATTAGATATAACTAAAGTCTCATTTATAATCTATTCACTAAAACTCATTTAGCTTCTCACATAATAATCATGAGTTCTCTTGAGTCTTCTATTGAAATAAAAATATAGTCACTTTTCAAAAGTAATTAATGGATCTTCCGGTTGTCCAGTACAGGTGTGTATCCCATCAGGTGTGGTGACTCATGACTGTAATCCCAGGACTTTGGGAGGCCGAGGTGGGCAGATCATGAGGTCAGGAAATTGAGACCATCCTGGCTAACACGGTGAAACCCCATCTCTACTAAAAATACAAAAAATTAGCTGGGGGCGTGTGGGCAGGTGCCTGTAGTCCCAGCTACCCGGGAGACTGAGGCAGGAAAATACATGAACCTGGGAGGTGGAGCTTGCAGTGAGCTGAGATCGTGCCACTGCACTTCAGCCTGGGCGACAGAGTGAGACTCTGTCTCAAAGAAAAAAAAAAAAGAAAATAGGTGTTTGAACTTGGTCCCTCACTTGAACCTAATGTTGAAACATTTTCATGCCTTTATAACTTCTGCCCCACAAAATTTCTGCTGTGCAATGTAGAATGCCATAATTGGCTTGCTGTAGTATATTGGCAATAAGATAATCTTCCTTTGTTCCCAATAGTAGGAGTGTTTTCTAATGCAGCTCATAACAAGTTGCATCATAACACTGTCAACTAAGGCAATTTCTTAGTACATAGCCAAAAGCATTATTTTGCACATCTCTCATTGCATTATAAATTAAATGTGTCATTTAGTTGGAAAGGCAAATCATGTAAGATCTGTAGCAATAGGGTGATGAGGATTTTAATCTCACCCAGATTATTAATGGTACAGCATTCGTTTTTGTCTATGACATTAAAATTTCACACATTTACTACTAATGAGCTGTTTCCCAAATGAGGCTATTTCTGATTTTTAAAAGCATAAATATGTAAATATTTCAAACAACAGGATTAGTTACCACAGCCTTGCTATTGCCCAGAAACTTTTTGTTTCCTTGCAGCCACATAATTGTGGCAAACAATGTAATCGACACTGTGATAGATTCCTCGTTATGGCTGGTTCTCTCATCACAGAACACAATCCAGGTCTCTCAGGCTGATATGCAAAATTAGTTTTGTTTCAAAGAAATAGTATTATTTTTAGAACAGATATTATTAATCACATTATTCAGAATCTCCCTATCTTTTATATATAGAAACTTGGGGGAAATTATCAGAATGATAGAGATTGTATTTAACTTAGAAAAGAGAGAATATTTTATAAATTATAAATAATGGCATGTCTTAGATAACTGTTTAAAAGATCTGGAAGCTACTCTCTTGTCTTTCATTTAGAAATCACTTTCACCATGTCTTTGAGAATTGTCAGTGTAAGAGGGAATTATATTGACAAGGTACTGACATTGTAAGTTAGACAATAGAAGCCAATGAGTGAGGTCCTTAAGAACTTGCGTTTGAATTTTAGCCCTGTCACTTAGAAGCTGTAAGATTTCTCTAAAACTATTTTTCTCTTCTGCAAAATAGGAATAATAACAGCTCCCTTCGCAGGCTTTCTGTGAAATACATGAAATAAATACATCAAAAGTGATAAGCATAATGTCTGGAACATAATAAGCTTTCAATCAATGGTAGTTGTTATTATTATTGCTAGGAACGTGTATCATACATTTTATGTAACCAACGGTTAGTTATCTCTGCAACAAAAAGTTACAGAATGCTTGAGCTACTGAATTATTTAAAAATACTATGTAGAAAATTAAACAACTTTCTTTAATAATAAAATGTAATACATCTTTCATTCTTAAATTAAAAATGAAGTCCTGTTAACTAGTTAAAAATTACACTGATCTAGTTTCCTTGTCTTCTTTATTTTCTTCTTCCCACCTTCTGATCAATATACTCAAACTCTGAAGGGCCAAATGTCAGGCAAGATAAGGTGAGAGAATGACAAGGAAAAAGTCTGGGTCATGCATGAACTCAATACTTTCTCTTGGATAATTAAGAAATGGAAATGAGCATACATGAAGGGCCTCGTTCTGATTTTCTCTCATCACACTGTTGAGCAAAGTGAAAATATTTTCTCGTTACTGAGATTTTGTTATGAATGTAATAATTATTTTTAGCTATCATTATATCTGGAAGCCCAGTTCCTGGCTGAACCTTTCTCTAAACAGCATTGGTAGCCTATCAAACCATTTCCTCTAGGACCTATGGAAGGCAGGTACAGGTGTTGTGTATATTTACAATATGATGTCCAAAACGTATTTTACTTCAATAGATTTTAAAGGAAAACAATATACAAGCATGTTCTAAGGATCACTGAACATTTACTTAGCACAGACTATGTGTCAGGTGCAGGGGTTACAATTGACAATGTAGCCATAGTCTCTGCCATCAGAGAGCAAAGAGGAAAATAAAATGATAGACAATAAGCACACCATTACACCATTAAACAGAGCTTACAAAATGGGATACAGGTTGTACTTTTTCTAAATTAAGAGAAGCAACCTCAGAGGAGTAATTTTGAAAAACGTGTGTGTGTGTGTGTGTGTGTGTGTGTGTGTGTGTGTGTGTAGTAAGTTTAGTAAAGGAAAACCAGATAAAACATTAGAAATGAATACCTTCAATGTTTTAGATTATTTTATAAAAGTAGATACACCAAAGAAGCCTTCAAATTTCATTATCTTTTCTCAATTTTTCTTTTGAAATTAAAAAATATGTACATGGAAACTGTTTTCCTGCTGGTCTTGAGTAGAATAATTGAATTTCAAATACTTTTTCAGACAGCCTTAAAAGTAGATATACCTATGCACGACAAAATAGCCAATAAAAACAAATAAAAAATAAACCACCAGTACTTTGGGAGCCTGAGGAGGGCAGATCACAGCGTCAGGAGATGGAGACCATCCTGGCTAACACGGTGAAACCCCGTCTCTACTAAAAATAAAAAAATAAAAAAATAAAAAAAATTAGCCGGGGGTGGTGGCAGGCACCTGTAGTCCCTGCTACTGAGGCTGAGGCAGGAGAATGGTGTGAACCCGGGAGGCGGAGCTTGCAGTGAGCCCAGATTGCGCCACTGCACTCCAGCCTGGGTGACAGAGCCAGACTCCATCTCAAAAAAATAAATAAACAAACAAACAAGGCAAAACTTCAAGGGGGTGAAGTTTTAGATATTTTTTGATAAGCACCATGTCCCATCTTTATGTATTGACCTTTTTATTTTCCCTTATTAATAAACTTCTTTGATTATTAGATATAATTGTCCTAATTTCCCTATTGTTAAATCATTAATGTAATCTTCCCTCAAGAGAATATAGTGTGTTTACTAGACAAGAAAGGAAAGGGAGGATGAACTCCACTTATTTCTCAGCTTGACTTTATGCTCACATTCAAGAATCCCCCTGTTTACCTGCCTACCTTCAACTTGTAAATCCACAGATTTTGATACGACTATTTTGTGTAGAGTTTTAAATTGTGTTAAGTGGCAACACAGTTCATTGAAATTGTGTACGATATGATCAGAGCATGGTAGTTATAAAACAAGTGTTATTAAAGAATGGCTTCGTGTGACCAGCTCTGTGTGTCAGGAAATGCAAGTGCAAAAAATACTGCAAAGGCTTTCATTGGTGTTTAGGAGCAAACTGTTTTTACTTTCATTAATTCTAAAGGCAATGGATGTTTTAGGTCTGTAGAGAATTGGAGAATCAAACTCATTACTATGATTAAGATAGTCTATTAAAATGAACATTTTAACTTTTGTCCAATCAGTTTAGGTTATTTCTAAATGTATATGGTCAAACATCAGGTATTTATCAGTATTTATAATAAGTAGGCCTAATTGTTCCACAACACTCGCTTAGGATGTACTGTTCAGGATTTCCCTAGGCAACTCCAAAGATGGCCTAACTTGCTCATAATGTTTGTAATGTGTGTGTACACATTATACATAATTTATATTATATGTATAAAAATTATATATTTAAATTGAGATGGAGTATTTTAGATTATAAAGAAGACAAACTCGATACTTCAGGTAGTGAAGCCTGCAATTAAGAAAATAGATGGATGTCACATTTTATGATGGGCCTAATCAACTGAGTTCATATAACATTTATTTAAGAGCAAAAAATCAAATTAACTATGTTTGAATCCTGGTCCTACCAGTTAATAACTATGTAACTTTGACAATATGCCTTAATTTTTCCGAGCTTCAAGTTTTCTCGCCTATAAAATGGAATAAGAAGTAATACCTGTAAAATGGGGTTAATATGAGTATTACATGAGTTAATACATGAAAAGCACTTAGAACTTTACCAGAGGAAAGAATAGGCATTTAATAAATGTTAGTTATGATTTTAATATGCTTGCTTTTAAAAATGCTTTTCATGCATGAATTAAATACATACTCATATGTCAATACAATACAAGGGTTTTTTAGTTGATAGAGATGTACAATTCCTGATACGGAGTTGGCATTCAATAATTTTTGCTAGGTGTATAAGTGAAAACAAAGACTAAATGTGGATTTGAACAATTTGAATAACAATTATTCACATGTATGGATTAAGAAAAGATAGGGACTGATAAATCTCTTCAAAGATACTTCAATACTACTGCAGACTATTTTAATATATATTGGCAGACCCAGAACTTTAGTGATAGTACGTGGGTTTGCATTTGGTATTAATTCCCATCTTGTTAAACAAATTGCATATTTTTTAGAACTTAAAAAGCATAATTTCATTACTGTTCAGTATATTAGATAAATCTTAATATGGTTTCCATAACCTCACCACATTGGTAAGTAAGTCCAAAACAAACAGAGGCTTTAAAACTCATACTACCATGTGTTTGTTTCCTGTGTATATTCACATAGGAGAATAGCCATGATTCTCAAGTAGCAATCCACGTTTACTATTAACTGAAAAGTAGTCACAAATTCTTTCTATGTCACTATCAAAGTTATTAACTCTTTCTATGTATTAATTTCTATGTATTATTTCTGTGTAGACACTTTTTTGTAGACACAAATCCTATCGCCATCAAATTAAGTCATTAATTCTATGTTACCATCAAAAAAGAATCCAAAACTAAATTTAAAGCAACGTATCTTACTAAAAATTTTTGAATTTTTCATTATGAAATATTTCAAGTTTACTAAAAATTATAGAAAATACCCTAACAAATATCTGTGTGCTTGCTCTCCAATTTTGTCAGATCTCAAGATTTTGCTATATTTGTTTTAGATGTTTTAAAATAAAAGATAATACCCGGAGGCTCTCTGAAATCACTTCCCTATCCATCAAAAAAACTCACTAAATTGAATTTAATATTCATAATTTACAAGTTTTCTTACAATATTAATATATGTATGTCAAATATACATGTATATATGATGTGTAATCGTATTTCACATGATTTTATCTTTGTACCATTATACCATACTATATTAAGTGTTTGATCAAAACTTTTTTCAAGATATATCTATCTTGATATATGGAGGCTTTTAAGATTTATTTAATTGATTTTCAGTGCCACTTACTATTTCATTGAAATGAATATATCAAAATGTATTTATTCTTTCTTCTATTGGCTTACTATTGAAATAATGTTACAATTAATATTCTTGAACAAATTTCTTGTTCACAGGTAGGAGAATTTATGGTAGAAGTGGAATTAGTAGAAATTGAATATTTGGATGTTTGGGTATATAAACTTAAACTTCACCAGATATTGACAAATTTATCTAAAAAGTCCATATAGAAACTTCCTATCCACAGTCTATGAGAGCTCCTCTTTCTTTAAATCATTGTCTCTATATTTCCCTAAAATTGCTTGTAATTTATCTTGAGTGACAACTGTCAAATTGTGTACATTCAAATTGGTTGAAGTGGGAGGAACACTGCTTTATTTCAATTGGATTCAGCTCACAATGGCTGACTTGTGAAGTGTTATGAAACACCAACTCGGTGCTTCTTAATCTTGGCTACACATTAGATTCACCTCGGAGCCTTCAAAAATCCTAATATTCAAGCCTCATCCCAGACTAATTACATCAGACTTTCCTTCGGGGTGTAAGCAGGGTTAAGAGGGAAGTGGGTGAAGGGTTGACTGACCCACCTCCCACCACCAGAACTCAGGTGATCCCATTATGCAGTCAATGTTAAGAATTACTTCCTTTGTATCTGACTGGTAAGAAAATAAAATCAGAGAGACAGGGAAAGTACTTGCCTGTAGGCCCATCTTTAAAAGTAAGTGGTGACCTGGAGTTTGATTCTCAATAGCTTTCTCTAGAATGTGTAGGTAAATTAGTGGCTGGGGAAGATTTCCAGGCATCCAGGATATGGCAGTATTTGAGACCAGGAATGTAGCAAGAGTTAGTTTGACAATAGTTTGGAATAGAACTACAGATTACAAGGGACAGGATCCAGCCCCTTTTAGGAAAGGCAACTTGTGAAGTCCAGACATATGTAAAGACTCCCAGACAAAGAGGTTGGTTTACAGGACTCTAGTGTCCACCAGAGATGAAGTATTATTTAGAACGTGAGACATAAGCTTAGGCAGAAAATGCAGAAAAAAAGCAGTGAGAGTTAGAGAAAGGCCTTGTCTGTGTGTGCACCATTTGGTAATAGCAAATGACAGTAATCTAATTTCAACCCCATCAGTTGGTGACAGCTATACATGTTCTGCCAGACTTAATTAGGATATGCTTTGAAAATTAAGTTGTTTTTAAATGTGTAGCATATAAGCTTCTAATTGGTGCTCAGAGGAAATGGAAAGTCAAGGATTAATGCAAATGTCCCAAGTTATAATAATTGAGGAAAGATTTTATTTGGTTCATCAATTGTAAAATAACATATTGATATAAACCAAAAATTTATATTTAATTAAAATTGCTTTATAACTGCATTAAATATACTTTACCAAGAGTGTTGGTAAATATACTTTAAATATCAGATAACAAGTGTTTACGGAATGTCAGCCACAGCAACAGCCATTCTTCATCTTTTTCTCAATCAGTACAGTCATAACAATGTTTTAGTTTTGCTTTTCCATACATGCAAAACTATAGGAAAGTTAAACACCAAATTACTGTTTATCGGGCAATAACATTGATGTTACCATTTAGTTCATATAATTACCTCCTATGTTCAGGAAAGAGTAAGATTTCTAAATTATAGTATAGTTAGAACACCTACAAGCATTTCTTTTAAAAAAAAATCTTTAGGGCAAAGAAAACTACAAGCATCCAACATATTTTTAAGTTGTCACTGTGCATTCAGGGTTTAAGACATGAGGATGATGAGATAATTATAGAGTGATTTGAAATAAAATATCTTGAATAGTCTGCATGTCCTTTAGTTTAACTGTGAAGTCATCAACTAAGGTGAATAATCAAGATAACTCTTTCTTTTCTCCCAATTCAGTGCTGAGTACAAAAGAAGGACTAAATATGTCCAGAAAAGTCTTAATCCTGAGTGGAATCAAACAGTAATTTATAAAAGTATTTCCATGGAACAGGTATGTAAAGATTATTTCTAGGTGACAGAATTAGGCTAATATAAGTACAGTGATAGCACAATTATTCAAAAATTGGATCTATATACATTTGGCCAATCAAACAGAAAAAGTTGAGTAAAATACATGTAAGAAATGTAGACAATGGGAAAAAAATGAGTGACGTTTAAACATAGGGTGAAAGTAAATGTGCCCATTTTGACAAAGCAGCCAAAACATAAATAAAATAAGAAAACTAGTGGAATATTTTCCATTGATTATTTCAGAATTTAAAATTTTTAATAGACTAAGCCACAGTTATCAAATTTGAGAGGGAAATATATTTTCCAACTGGCTATATTTTGACTTTCATACACAGTATACAGAAAAAATAAGATTCAATGCATAGAACTGTATTACTGCACCAGACAATATTTTAGGATCTCATCTCTTTGCTAAATTGAGGCCTCCTAAGAATCTGGCACTGTGGTGCTAAACTCTATAGAAGAACACAAAATGATGACTAGTATAAAGGGTTATCACCACAGATAAGTAACTGTAGACAAAATTACACTAATGTGCTTCTGAAAATCTGCATTTTTATAACTTTGCTTGAGTAACAGACAATAACTGAAATGTATAAAGTTGAATTCAGAGAGAAGACTGCAAAGACAGTTCCCATATAAACCAATTTACAAGTGAACTGTCTTTCAAAATGAGGTTCTTAATTTGTCTTCTAGTAGATTAATTTGATTACAAAAACAAAGCTTGATATAAATTATAATCTGGGTTTGTGAATTTAAAATAAACTCACCTGCAGAAATAAGACAATGCTACTAGGTTTTTTAGAAATTGCTGAAGCATCTAATCCAAATACTTCATCTATATAATACTAGACGTTTTTGCAGTCTATGAATTTCTTATATTTAGAGTACTTATAAATTCTGATTTCTATTTTTGAAAATGAGGTGGGGATACAATAAATAAGAATTATCATTTTATTCACAAAATAATGTTCCATATGATCAAACACTAGAGTGCAAAATCATTCAAATTTTATGTAATATTTAATATATTTAAACTACATAGTTTTTGGTAAAATTTTAAGTATTTTCACATAAATGGAAGGAGTTTAAGGAAATAAAAATAAATATGTCTACTGTATATGTATAATGAAAATGTATGATGGAAAGATAGGTTAATTAGGTTTCTATTTGAACTATATAGCTCAAGAAGAAAACACTGGAGGTGACAGTTTGGGATTATGATAGATTTTCATCCAACGACTTCCTTGGGGAGGTAAGCCTCTGACTTCCTTTCCCTTATTTGCTGCTATGGTAAACCACCAATTAAAGCATGATGCAAAGCATATTTCTGAAGTTTGTAAGATAGCCATTTCTGCATAAAATCTTTTGGCAGATAGAATTTATTTCCTGATTTACTCTTTGAGTAGATTAATACCAACTCAAGAAATGATTTTCACTCTATCACTTGATGTACTTTATAATTAATTTCTAAGATGAAATTTTGTTTCAATAGGAAGATATGCAATCATACTGTGAGTCCAAATGAGATTTGAAGTAATAAATTTATCATATTATAAAATGGCCTGGACTTTTCAAAATGCATTTACACGTTCTTTAATTGATTCAATGTGATATATTGCATTGTTATTTATAATTAAGTTTCCTGAGAAAAATTGCTGAAAACATTTTAAGAAGCAAAACTACAAGTAGGAGAAAACAATAAAAACAATTTTTACATTAACATCAAGGAATCAAAATAACCTAATTGTATGCCTGTGTCAGAATATCTCATATACCCCATAAACACATACACTTACTATGTACTTGTAAAAATTTAAAAGTAAATAAATAACCTAATCATGAAATTGGTAGAGTGAACAAATCTTGTGATTTTTTTAATCTATTATATATATACACACATGTATAGATATATATACATTGTTTATAGATATGAACATAATACATACATTGTTTATACATAGGAACATTATATGTATAATGTAGATATGTACACATTGTATAATGTAGATTATATATTATATGTTGTATAAACACATATATTATACATTGTATATACATATACATTGTATACATAATGTGTATATACATACAATGTATATGTGTCTGTATACTATACAGTGTATACAATTGTATGTATAGTGTATATATGTTTATGTACACATTATATATACAATGTATATATACTATACATATATAATATATATACTATACATATATAGTATATATAATATATATACACACACATATTGTTTAGTGTTCTGCTTAGGGTAGAAGTTATGAAAGAATATTAAAAATAATCTCCAAAACCTACACAATATGATATCCTTTTGATAGAGATTATATAAAACGGTTGTGTAATCAAGGTGATAATGAGGCCTTGTTTGGTTGTTAAGACTTTGCACCTCTCTTTTCACCAAAACCGGAGCATTTGACCCTTACCTTCCAGCTTCATCCAGCTCTAGCCACTTGGACGAATCTTGATCTTAGGCAAGAGTACTCTAGATTAGTATTATGTCTGACTTTATGTCTCAAAAAAGTGACTTATTGAAGTCCCTCTAATTTATGGTCTTATGTTTACATGAGCCTAAAGCATATATCCATTGGTCTGGTTTTCATTTCTTTTTAGCTCATCATATCTAAGATGTCAGCAACTGCAAAATGCACCAATGTACTAAGAAAAAAAAAGTTGCCAATTAAACCACGACGAAATGTGTTAGTCATATCCCTATTTCAAATGTGAACTAAAGTGTGTTTTAAAATAGAATAAATAAATTTATAATTGCAACTTTCTCATTCTTTTCCAGTTTGTCTCTTTTGTGACTAAAATCAAACATTTTTCAAGGTTGCTAGTCCAGTTTAAGATTAGAATGAGTTATGAGTTCTTTTTTTTTTTCTTTTCTAAGACGGAGTCTCGCTGTGTTGCCTGGGCTGAAGTGTGGTGGCGCGATCTCAGCTCACTGCAAGCTCCACCTCCCAGGTTCACGCCATTGTCCTGCCTCAGCCTCCCTCGTAGCTGGGACTACAGGCACCAGCCACCACGCTCGGCTAATTTTTTTTGTTTTTGTTTTTTTAGCAGAGACGGGGTTTCACCGTTAAGATTAAAATGAGTTCTTACAACAAAAAGAAGTTTTGTTTTATGAACAGATTGACTTGTGACCCTTTTAACATCATATCCAAATAATTTATTTAATAGTCAAAAATTTTATACAGTTCAGTTCAAGCAAACATTTATTAAGCATCTAATATGTAAAAGACATTGTTTCCAGTATCATTGGTAAAGAAAAATGAAGAAGAAAGAATCATCATCCTCAAAAGTTATACTGTATTCCTTGGTTTATATCCTTTAATAAATTTTAGAACATAGAAAAAGTAATGAATTAAACGTACTTTAGTCCCTAAATGTCATTGATTTGTTACACTTTTTTTCAGGTATTGATTGATTTATCTAGCACATCTCACCTCGATAACACTCCAAGGTGGTATCCTCTCAAAGAACAGACTGAAAGCATTGATCATGGCAAGTCGCATTCCAGTCAGAGCAGCCAGCAGTCCCCAAAGCCATCTGTTATCAAAAGCAGAAGCCATGGTATCTTCCCTGACCCATCAAAGGGTAGGAAATACTTTTTAAGCAGAAAAAGCTTTGTGTCTATTTGTTCCGTCTGTATCTTCTTAGTGTAAATGTTTGTACATTTAACATATACTAATAGACTAGACATGACTGGAAAATACTTAATATAATGTCATGCAAAGAGTGATGGATGTGGAGTCAGGAGAAATGGGCTTTATTCTCAGATCATCATCCATACTTAGGTGTAGGACTTTGTAATCTTCACTTCTCTAACTGTCCATTTTCCAACATGTAAAATGGAGGAGGTTGGACTATATGAGCTGTTTGGTCTATTCCACCTCAAAATCCATGATAACATGATTTCAGAAAATGCATTTGGGTATTTCATAAAGATAATAGAAAAATCCCTACTGGTTCATTGACTAGACATAATCATCATTACCATTAAGGTATAATCCTTCTACTTTTGAATCTCTGGTTGTCCATAAATATTGTCTTACCCAATAAATATAATTTTGCATGCTACTTTTTATTTATCATACAAAGAATATTTTCCCTTGTCATCAAAACAATTGGTATGCTGAAATTTACTTAAGTCTTTCCTAAATGTTGAACTCAAGCTAATTTTTTAATAAATTATTTTTTAAATAACAGTGCCATACATTGGGTTTGACAATATGCAAATATGCACAGCACTCTCATTCAAATGAGCTTTTCCTTTGAGAGGTTCATTACCAGCTGTCCTACAACACAACATTAATCCTCATCATAAACTGAGTTACTGCCTCTGTGGGATAAAACGTGTGGTACCTTACCTACATATACTGAACTATTTATAAGTATTAAATATAATTTTTATATTGGACTTGAATATTACTTCCTTGTCACCTTTTCTAGGAAAGTCCATCAAATTGAAAAGTGGTTCTTTGTACATGAGATTCTCTGAATCATAAATGCAAGTGTTCTAGGAGATGAGAAAGTGAGTCCATGTCCAGTAGGCCACTGAGTTGGTATCATAAACCACTGACTACGAGTGCTGTAGATTATTTATTAATGAGTTTTATAGATCATTTATGGGTTCTACTTAGCCATCTCAACTCCATCTTGCTTAACATTCTGCAAGATCATTAGTATAAAGATCTCTTTCTATGACTGCCTTAGGAAATATGTGATCCATACATTCTCTACAATGGTTTGAGGCATGATTCTACAATCTCCACATTTAATATGTCCTAGTGACTTACATCCTTCATCCTGTTTTTACTTAAAACTCCTCCTGTGTACCGTCTCCTACCTGACCTGTACTGGAATTAGCAGAGGTGCTTGTTGAAACTAGAAGTTAACATATTTATTACTAGAAGCTAGTCAGAATGTATTTCTTTTTTCAAAGTTATCTCTTCTCATTGCTATCATCCTTTTGCCTTTCCTCCCCCAAATTGTTTCCCAGATGTTTAATCACAGTTCTCTATGATGACCAGTTGCATAAATGAATCATATAAGACCCAGAATTAACATAAAGTTTAGACAGTTTCAAATTATGTGTAGACTAAGCTTGACAGGAGGAGTGCTGGAACAACTTTAACTCATGTTTTACCCTTTTGTGACCAGACATGCAGGTTCCCACCATTGAGAAATCCCATAGTAGTCCTGGTAGCTCAAAATCATCATCAGAAGGCCATCTCCGTTCTCATGGACCATCTCGCAGTCAAAGCAAAACCAGCGTCACTCAGACCCACCTGGAAGATGCAGGGGCTGCCATAGCTGCTGCCGAAGCTGCCGTGCAACAACTCCGCATTCAACCAAGTAAAAGACGCAAATAAATTCCTCAGCATGGCAGCTTAATGTTCATCTGTTGCCTTTCTTTCCTGCTGTCCTTTCCTGTTTGCTTTCAGTTTTCAACATCCTCTGCTCACCCTGTTCTCTGTCCCTTCGTCTGTGTAAGAACGATATCAATACATTAATATGCTCTTTCTTATTTAGATTTTTTTTTTTTACATAGACTGAAATAAAACTGGCTGTTTCTCCTTTGTTTACACCATCCATCCAACCTGGCTCATAGCATTTGATACAGTGTCTGTGATGTTTGGAGGCAAAGCAATGTTGTGTGTCCTTTTTGTTTGCGCTTAAATATCTTTTAGAATACAGAAATTATAAGCACAAGTGGCTGCCAGTTTTTCAGACCTTATACCAAAAAATAAAAAAGTGCACTCATATAAGTATTTAGAGCAGATTCACAATTAGATTCTTGTGTCTGAAAACACTCAAAAAGTCTAGGCAGAAGATAATGCAACCAACAGTCAACTTCTAGAACCTTGGAGGAAAAGCCATTTCAAGACAGTGCTTTAAAACACTAATAAATTATGCTTGTGAAATATGGTAACTTTCCATGTGCAAAAATTTGTAGTCTTGAAAAGTCCGTGAAGAAAATCTTATTTCTTATATTCTCAAAAAACTACATTAAATTAATATATATATAAGCACATGTCATGAGGCAATGCAGCTTCATTGAGGAGCACAATTGGGTCCATTCTGTTGGATCACACTTTGTATGCGATGACAGATTTTACAGATTTTTTTTCTAACCATTGGAAATCAAAATGTACTATGTCTGGTAGCTATAAGTCAAGCAAAATATAACAATTGACCTATCTTAACTGCTGTATTTTCATTTCATTTGTGAAAATTTAGTCAATTGATATAATTATATAAAAATAAGTGCAAATATTTCACAAATGTAGGTGCCCTGTTACTTCTAAAAGGCATTAGCCAGGCAATGGAGATAGATCGTTGTTCTCTGCATCTCCCTAGTCATCATTTCCAAAGAAACAGCCAGTTTTAAACCCCTTTAGTGCTGTGCATGTGGTGTCATTTTGGCATTTGAAAACACAACTTATTTAAATACAGCAAAAGAGCACTTCTGTTTGCATGAATAACATTTAAGCTGGTTCCATCTGAGGATACATACTCTGGGTTTCCATTTCACCCACACTGCCACAGCAGCACATAAAAGCGGTCAGTCTAATCATGCCAGGAAGCAGCACAGACACAGCATAGCAGGAGTCCTCCCAATTCAAAGAACTCAGTCTGATAATCTGCCTCCACCAGCCAATGGCAACCAAGACCAAAGCCAGCTAGCCCTCAGGAAGGTGATGTCTGATGGACCAGTCAAGCCAGAAGGAGGTGAGCAGAAAGGCCCTGTTCAAAGCACACAGCAAGAACATCCCCCAAATTTAAAGCTCTCCTCTTTAATTTTTAGAGATTGTCTGATAAAATATGTTTATCCACTTTTTAATGTGCTTTTGTGGGCATGGCATTTCAGGACTTCATCATCACCATGTAAGTCCCAAGACCAGTCCCGTAATATATTGACTACAGTGATTTGTATTTTTCTATGCACTGGGCATCTTTTGACTTTGGTTGGGAAATAGATTAACAATATTCGTATTGCAGAATGGAATGCATGCTACTAACCTAATCTGTTCAAGCATGACTATAAATATGTTTCATTGTGATAAAAGTTTAAATTGCTCACAGTTCAAGTTAGCCTACCAGTTGGAATGTGGATCAGTTTTTGTTGCCTATTATTTCAAGTGTAACTTTTAAAAATTTAGTGGATTTTGAAAATTCTTAGAGGAAAGTAAAGGAAAAATTGTTAATGCATTCATTTACCTTTACATGGTGAAAGTTCTCTCTTGATCCTACAAACAGACATTTTCCACTCGTGTTTCCATAGTTGTTAAGTGTATCAGATGTGTTGGGCATGTGAATCTCCAAGTGCCTGTGTAATAAATAAAGTATCTTTATTTCATTCATAAACTACTGGGTTCTGAGCCATTGTTATATGATGCAGCTTAAAATGAATGTGTCAGTTTTGTTTTCTCATTTGATTTCGTTGCAGTAGATTTTAATTACTGCTTCATTGCTAGTGACAGCTGTAATGATTGGACATTTGAGAGCAGGACAAAGTTCCATCTTGGAAACACTGTAAGATAGATGGAAAATTGTCACCAAATAAAAGCATCAGAGATTACATTAAAATGTAAATAAATAATGGGATTGGGCTACCCTAGGCAACATTTCTGCTATTTCTGTCTCCCACGTCTGATCTACTTTGCAATCTTCTCAGGTTCCTGGATAGAGGAAGGTAAATTCCATTGCTTTGGAGAAGTGGCTAACCTTGAACTCATAGCTGTGTTCAGAAACGAAAGCACATGTACACCCATCTGTAACCTAACCCCAACATTTCTAGAATTTTCCCCAAAGAAAGAGTGCCACTGCCAGTGACAAAGAATGAAGCTAGGGTGATTATACAATTATCTTCAAATTTAATTCAAAAGCACATATTAAAATAATTTTTAAAAAAATAGGATACTAGTATTTGTCCCCTTCAGTACTTCTCAGCCCTAAAATATTTGATTTTATGAGTCCATATTTGGCACAAAATTAAAATCAAGCCTTATACTTTCCTGTTGCATTCTTTTTATTCTCATAAAATTAAAAACATTTCATATGTCCTTCTCCCAATTAATTATATATGTGGTGGCAATGTAAGACATATGTCGCATTACAGAGGTAAACCACTGAGGTGTTTCCTAAATTAGGTAATTAAGGAAACAATCAGCTTAAACATTAGGATAATTCTGAATATGTGTTACTCAGCCCAGTTTATAGATTATCACCAAAGCATAATTTCTTTTTTCTTGTTAGCCTTACTAAAACTTTCATTTTTAAAATTCCACCTCTCACCTTTTCTTCCATCAAATAAGTTCACTTGATTTCTTCATGTTATTCACGTTATTACTTGAAATATTCTTTTAATTATAAATGCCACAGTAATCAAACACTTCCCTTATTTCACACCTTATTTTTAATTATTGTGACTTAAGTGTTTCTACATAACATTTTATATGATTTTCTTCCTAGACATAGTCCTTAAAATTTATATTAAAGTGTTTTAATCCCTTTTTTTGAATAGTGCTCTAATAGATATTCTCATACATTTAGTCTTGTGATTGACTTAGAAGTCACTCTTTATTAAAATCATAATCAAAAGGAAAACTAGATAACACAGCATGCTTTCATGTTTAATTTTGTTCTAATAGATGATAAATAAAAAGCCTTATTTTCTAAAGTACAATTTTTCTGCTATTATAAATATACCAATATAATTGATCCATGTATATTTCCAGACACTTCATAGCAAACATACTGTAGTGTTAAATTTATATAAAATGCAATATAAATTCTTTAAAGTGCAGAGAGAAAAACTAGGCAGAGATACAAACATATAAAAAGAACCTGCAAGTTCCTGTTCACTAACTGCAGAAGTATTAATAATAATCGTAAGTGTTGGGATAAAAGTGTCCCATTTCAAACCTCAAAATGGAGTTCATATAATCCCATCTGCATTCTGAAAATAATACTCTGCATTTGAATAGTTCTTCATGTTGTACAGAGCGTTTTGTCATCCATTTCTCATTTTATCACATTAAGTGGATGAGATAGTCATTTCAATATTCTTATACTTGTTTTTTTATGGGTAAGCAATCAGAGAGTCAGAGGGGTAGGCTGGCTGGTATAAGAACACACAGCTAGAAATTTTCAGAACTGACAAATATAACATTGTCTTGTGACTTTTCGAGTTACAATTTTTGAATACATTGTCTCCTTTAAAATCAAAGTCTCCTAATTTTAATAAGAACAGTCACTTATGACTTCTCTCTCAAGTTCTTACAAATGATTAGCGGTAGCTAGAAATGATGGCGGAATTCAATTAATACTCTCTATCTACATGGTCCTCCTTTCTAAAGATTGTTGATTTAACCTAGCAAAAGGAAGCCTTCCCACTGTGCAAGCCCAGTGAGGCATTAGGCAATGTTTCTGACTCCATTAGAAAAGGCTGTGGGTCCATCTGTAGGCATTTCTATCAAGAGTGACAAAAATTGTCCCTAAAGAGCTTTTCAAAGATTTTTTGTAAGCTTCTCAGCAGATTTCTGCTTGAGCTAGCATAAAATACGGGTCAAACAAGAATTATGGAGTAAGTCAAAAGAATTTTTTCTTTCCCCCTGGGGTTTAGTTTCATACTAAAACACCTGATGGGAAAGTATAGAGATTGCGCAAAACCATCCTGATGCCTAAACAACTCTCCGTAGTTAAAAACCTCTGGAAATGTTTTTGGTTGTTGTTGTTTTCCCCATGCTAGCTAGTTTGGTTGAACACAAGCCTTGCTATTTCAGAAGATTTTTTATTTGTTGGTTTGCTTGAAAACTATATCAAGACCAAAACAAGCTGAAGCATTCCTAAAACCTTGAAGATTTATTTAGTTGAAACCCAATATATTAAATTTAAGTACAGTTGGGAAAACCTGAGCTATTTTTGTTTGATACTAAGATTTTAGGTATGAGTTTTAAATTTAGAAACAGGCAATACAGGATGAGGAGAAATATCCCTCTACCCTGGTCAATAAAACAAGAACCATTGGGACAGGTTGGAGAGATTAGGTGAGAAGATAAATCATTAGATAAGTCATGCAAGGAAATATGATTTCGAGTTCCTTGATGTGGCCAAATTGTAGGAGAAAAGCCTGATGCTACTTCCACAGACCACTACTGGAAACTCCACTTTCAATAAAGCTCATTTGCGGCACCTGTCAAAGAAGAGTTTCATATCCATGCGTTGCCTTGGTGAACTCTTACTAAGCCATCACTGTGGGAGCTTCTGCCTTGGGCAAGTGGTAGTGGGTGGATGGGTTCGGGAGCGGGTGGGACTGGGAGTGGAGGGAATTGTTGGTTACAAATGATAGTAGCTAATTAGCACCCCATTTTCTTTTGACCGGAAGCAGATGATCACTTCTGGTCAGAAGGATTTTAGCCTTCCCTGTTTCTGTAAAGGACAGGTCCATAAGAAAAATAAAGGAAAAAGCATAAGAGAAATCAGTTTCATTTGGAGGTGAAGTCTTCTTTAACATTGTATGTACAAGATTAATAAAAACAAATTTTACATTCCTCATTTCCATGTGTTTGTGCAAAAAAAAAAATTGTTTAAACCTTGAGCAGTTTAATATAAAAAGAAAATTCGAACTGTAATGACATGCGCATAGCAAACATCCAACAAAATCTAAGAGAATCAATTTGGACAATTTCAGCTTTCAGAGTTCTATACCTGTTTATCTGAGATAAGAATTTCATTTTGTTGTCTGTGAAAATCAAAATGCTCTTCTAAAGTTTTGGTTTTGAGAGATTCTACATTTTCTTGGAATGATTCACTATGCATTTTCAAATATTTCTATAGTCATTTAAATTTATTGCTAGAAATACCTCTGCCATACATACAGAATCAGACAGTAAATGTAGAACTCTGACCATATCACACTATCTCTTGTTTATGGACCTTCATTCCTGAAGATGAATTCACTGGCCTACCATCAATGGGTACACTTCTGTTCTTTTCCAGTAGTAGCCATGGAACTGCACTGAGCCATCTGCATACTTTGGTCTGGTCCACAATGGGGATTTATATGTTCGTTTCATCTGACATGAAAAGTAAGACCAACTGGCCCATCTAAACACCAAACTTGGCTTCAAAATTGTTATGCCTTAGTCATATGGTCTAGCTACGGGCCTAAATAATGAGGATGGGACTATTAATACATGATCTAAGAAGAGAAAGGCCTAAATTTTACCATACCAAGATTTCTTAAATATTATTTATGACATGTCTTTAAAAATAATAACCATAAAGCCTAGTTTTTATAATGCAATTATATTCAAAAAGTTAGTTGATCAGATTACCACCAGGAAGCAGGACCTGTGGAAATAAGACAGGCAAGTAAATGCTGATGGGGGAGGGAAATGAGAATGCCAATGGAGACATGGTGGGGGGCAGTCAGAGTACAATAAGAGCATGGGGCAGGCAACTTTCTCACTTGGATAGGAGGATCATGGAACCAGGGATATGCTGCCCAAGGAGAGGTGGAGGAATGCCAAAGACACTAATTGTCAACTTAATAATAGTCCCCAAATCCAGATATCTAACTATCCATGAAATGCTTGGTTATTTTTCCACTTTTCATCCACATGTATTACATACATTATGTAAACCATAATATTTCACCCATTCTCCATTGTGCAACATGATCTGGGGGAAGAAACGTGGGTATGGGGTAAGATGAAAGGAATCTTCATGTATACTGAACAAGACCATGAAAACATTATTTTTCTTTTTTATTACTGTGATGTACATGTTAATATATAAGGAATCATTAAAAAGCCAAAAACACATGGATTTTCAAATGAAACCAAATTATATCAGAAATACAAAATTTTGATTGGGGTGTTGAGTTTGGTAGATGTTTGAACAGGAATGACGTAGATATAGCCATCATTTTATATTTTAATGTGTTTTAGACACTGAAAAATGCAATTTGTTAATTATAATTTGAACAGATTAATCAAAATAATATTAGGTTGGTGCAAAAAGTAATTGTGGTTTTTACCATTGAAAGTAATGGCAAAACCCGCAGTCACTTTTGCACCAACCTATTACCACAACTCAAACAAACCAGAAAAAATTTTCAGAAGAAATGTTTGGTAAAAGTCAGGATCGCAGGTTTCTATTTCCAAATGTGTAAGAAAGATAGTGAAATATAATTTCTACCATATTGTTCTTAAAAAGAACATAGCAAAATTCACTTTTCCTCTTTAAAACATTTCAAATTCAAAAGCATGTATTTCAAGTTCTATAGATCACACTGTATTTTTATCTGATTCTTTTTATAAA